AATACTGTATTACTGCTGCAAAGGTGAAGTAGAGAGAGTAGTCAGATTCATAGACAGAAAGTAGGGGGAGGGGACTTGGGGAGTTGCTTAATGAGTCCACAGTTTTAATTTTGCAAGATGAAAAAGTTCTGGATAGCTGGGCATTGTGGTAGACGCCTGTAGTCCCAGCTACTTGGAAGGCCGAGGCAAGAGAATCACTTAAGCCCAAGAGTTGGAGGTTGCTGTGAGCTGTGATGCCACAGCACTCTACCCAGGGTGACACAGTGAGACTCTGTCTCAAAAAATAAATGAATACATGGAGTTCTGGAGACCAATAATGTGAATTTACTTAACTCTACTGAACTGTACACTTAATGATGGCTAAGGTGGTAAATTTTATATTATGCATTTTGTAACCACAATTTTCAAGAAATGAAAACCAACACAGAGATAAAATCCCATGTCTGAAATCAAATGAGCTAAAGACAAAGGTAAGGTGGGCGGCAGGTCATCTGCTTAAAGTAGCTGTGAGGACACACTGGAGAGCAGCTCCGAAGGGTGTCCAGAGCGCCGGCCTGCTCAGGCCTGACTTGGCCTGTCTGCTGGGTCCTTACCCACGGCTCCTTACTGTGCAGACTGCCGTCTTCTGGCCCCTCTGGTTTGGGAAGACAGCAGGTGGGGAGAACTGGAGGAATAAAGCAACATGGTCTACAGGACAGGTGCGCCTGGTGCCGTGGATGGTGCCCTACAGGAGCTTCTCAGGGTCATGGCCGAGGCCCCCTGATGACAGTCCACAGGGGATGGATGTCCCCAGATGGGCAGGGGACCTTGAGCTTCATTGCTGAAGCCTCTGAGCTTCTTGAGGAAAGGGAGGTGGTAGCAGGGTGGAACTGTGGGGGCCCCCACATGGGTGGGTCTCTGGCAGAACCTGCTTTCCCTGGAACTTTTTCTGCAAGTGGCTGGCCAAAGGGCAGGCCTTGACCTGCCTTTGGTAGCCTGAGGTCACTGTAAAGATAATGGGTCAATAGAGGTGTAAAAACCTGGTGGGTGTTTGGATGGGCAGGGAGGGGCCATTCTCACTGGGGAAGTCTTCACACTCCTGCCTGCCCCCACCGTCCCCCTGCTGAGTCCCCTTGTCCCTGTCCCCCACCTCTGACACTTTCTGGTCCCCATGCTAACCTGCATCCCTGGCCAAGCGGCCTGGGCCATCATCCTTGCCTCATTTGGGGAAATTAATCATCTTGCAGGAAAGGAGAAAAGCTGAGGAAGCTGTGCTGGGCTGTGGGGACTGCCAGTAAAGGCCGTAAAGGTGGCCTGGGACCAAGTGGACGTTGACCTTGCGAACTTGGACTATTTTTTTCCCAGGTTAATATAGGGTCCATATGATTAGATTACATTGTTTGCATTTGTTAGGTAAAGCCAAGGTTGTAGTTGAGCCCATCCCCCAGGGAGTGTGCCATACACCCCGGCACTGTGCAGCTTAGATGCCTCTGCACCCCGCTCTCCCCTCCTCTCTCTTCCCTTCCCAGGAATTTAATTGTGTTTTTATTTCCTGCGGGTGTGTGGTCCTTCATCTGTTTCAACGTTTAAAACAGCAGCTGGGCTGCTTCTCTTTGCTGCCCCTTCCTCTTGTGAGGGGTTGAATTGGGGCCTAAGGGCCAGAACCATTAGGGTACCAAGTGTCCTCTGTTCAGAGTTCACCCTGCTGCGTTCCGTTCCTCGGGTCATATCAGCTCTGGTCTGCCGGCAGCCCTGGCTCTGGGTCGGCCCTGGCTCTGGGTCGTCCCTGCCAGGAGCGGGTTCTGCCTCCCCAGCCACCTCGGAGCTCCCAGGAGCACCAGG